TAAATTCTTTGTGAAAAATCGGAAATGAGCTGTCAAAATTCAGATTCTGTCATAACTTTCTTAGAAATTAAAATATTAAATAAATATAAACATTTTAATTCGTGTCTTGGCATGCTTTGAATTTATTTCAGTACGATGGCTGACACATCAGTGATTTATACTACTTATAAAATCTTCTTTCGCTATTAATTGATACGAGAAAACAACTGCAATTACAAAATATAAAGTAATTTACAATTTCTTTTTCCTTAGCTATATTCTTGTTTAAATCTTATATCTATTTTAAAAATTATAAATAGAGCTTAACCCTTTGCACTCGGCGATTTTTTCACCACAGAAAAATAGTAATTCGAAGACTTTCTACCATAAAGTCGAAAATATTTTCAAGATGGTACATAAGAAATCGTATGCAAATTAAGACGTAGATTTATTTTACGTCGACATTCCACGCATCGTTGGGTAATTTTAGATTTAATATATTAATTAACATCGATCTTTAGAATTTAACCCTTTGCACTCGACGATTTTTTGGCTAGAGAAGAGTAGAAAATCAAAGATTCTCTATTAAAAAATTTACGATACTTTTTTAAGTAGTAAATAAAGAATTTTATAATAATAGAATTGTAGAATTTTTTGATTTCGATATTTAGCATACTGTTACATTACATTAAATTTGATATATTAATTAATATCGATCTTCCAAATTTTATGAAATGATGACTGAGGGTCACCTCTCGAGTGCAAAGGGTTAATTAAATGGCGTCTGGAGTCGCCTCACGAGTGCAAAGGGTTAAAATTCGATCGCTGATAATACACATAAGAAAAATATCGTGTATTTTATATTTTCACTATTTCGTTAAAAAATGATTTCCACTATCAAAGATACAATCGACAACAAATAGTTTTGATAGAATACCATCAATACTATACTCTTAGATTAGCCCTCGATAGTTCAAATAAAAGGACGCTAAGGGTAATGTTTGCAGAAAGTTCAGGTGCGACCAGAGGTTCTCGCCTTATCCACAACCAGTGGCATTGGTGCAGAAACCACCGGAAGACTCTTCATCCCCGGCACCATTGGCTCTACCGCATTCTCCTTCGACCACGACCCTCTACTCGGCACCCCCGAGCGTCGCCCTAACGCCACAGCCACCCCTTCTTCAGATACTAATGTCCGCGGAGCAGTGTCAGGTAAGTAATTCAGCTCAATTTGCTCGAGTCTGGTGTTTCCCCTTTGCAAACTTTATAACCGTCAATCCGACAAATCCTGCCGTTATCGCACGATGGACTCGACCTCAGAGATCCTGGACGCTAGCTTGTAACCACTGTCTCTCGTTTCCGGTTTAACCCCCTTGAAATTTATTTTCTGATAAAATTCAAATTAAATCCCTGAAAAATTTCTAAAAATGTTTGTATGTCGAATACAAAGATTGGAAAATCGAAGAAAAATTTTTATCGTTAATGAAGATCATAGTGATTTTGGTACAACGTTCTTAGGAAACAAAGCGTTTATCGCGAGAGGTTTACACGATTTTCGAAAATTTCTTTGCTTAGGAAGATTCCGAGTCTCAGGGAAATTATTCTCTCGGATTAATCCTTTGTAGATGGAGCGGTTTTGAGTAAATCGTACCGTGGGACCAAGCCACTGCCGCCATAGTCATTCAAAATTACCAGCGTTCATTTCTACTTAACCACTTGCGCTAGAAAGACGTGCCGCGCACGTCGAGATGCTTTTGTTCCAAAATCGCCAGCGACGTGTACACCACGTCGATAGGCATTTATCGCAGAAATAAAAATGACGTGGGCTGCACGTCGGCTAACAACCAGATCGTTCATTTCTCGAGTTACAGTTCCAGAGTGCACTGCATCGCATAGTGTCATCGATATCTTGGAAATATTTCAGAATCGATACAGTCTCTCGCGGCGCCAATGTGACACCTTACGGCGTGTCATACTGTAGCGCACGACACCGCAACTGTGAGTTTATTGGTAGCGCAAGTGGTTAAACGCGATTTTCGTTCATAGCGACGCTGGCAATAAGGACATAAAACAGTCCATCGCTTAACTTGGGACTTGCGGTCCTAGGGTCCCAACAGCGGGCGCATATATGTGTTTCCCGACTATAGCAACGCGTTCACGTCGGTCACATTTATGAGTCCCTCGGCCTTATCAGTTGTTTCCACCGAACGCATATATGCGACGCTCGTCCGTAAAGGGTTAATGGTCCATAAAGTGTTAAGGGTTAATTATTAAAATTACTAATTTTTGGCAAATCTATTCGAAATTCTTTATATCACATTACGGCGATGAAATAGTACAGGTAACCCTCCTATAACACGGTAGATACGTTCCTAAAGAATGCCATGTTGTGTGAAACCGTGTTGTATGAGATCCAGAGCCAGTACAAAAAGGGGGGTTACGTTTCGAAAACTTATTAAAAACAATTTTTTTTAAATTCTACATAAACAACTTAATTTTGATTAAAAATATAAACGTATATACAACACAAAACAAAACAAAAATACTTTCTGCAATACTGTATCTTTAAAGACGGCAAGCCTCACCGCGACTGTAGATGTACAGTGTTGTACAAAGGTTTTTGCAATTTTCTTATCATGTGGAGCGAAATCGTGTTATAGGATACCGTGTTGTAGGAGGATTCCCGCAATTTATGAATCGTGTTATAGTGAAACCGTGTTATAGGATGCCGTGTTGTAGGAGGGCTAACTGTAATTATATTCATGAAAAGGATTTGTTTATCGTTGCTAAGTGTATTTTTATTGTCGGTTTGCAAGGAACTCGTGTGGAATGCACCACTACAATCGGAAACAGAATATTCTCTGGAACAAACAGAGACTAGTCATACTTCTTCAGGGACTTTACCAACTCCCAACCCCACGCGAGAGCTATTACAGGTAATTATCTCTATTGAACGTTTTGTATTAACTTTTTTTAATTTTCTTAACTTCTAAAATAATTAATTAGTATAAGAGATCAGGCAGAAATTTCATTCGAGGAACGAAAGTTTCATGTGTTTCAGGAGACAACCGCACGTTTACTATTCATGGCTGTCAGATGGGTTTGTTGTCTACCACTCTTCCAATCGCTTTCGAAGAACGATCAGCTACTGCTGCTCGAAGGTTCCTGGACACAGCTTTTTCTCCTTCATCTAGCACAGTGGTCCATATCCTGGAACATCACTGGCTTATTGGAGGATGAACAAGTACGAGCAAGATTGCCAGACGAAGCTACAACGAATCAACAATTAATTACTATTCAGGTAAGTAACTTAATTTATAATTTGTAATCTATTCAATTTTAAATAATATTTTACAATTTGAAATAATAAAATTTCGGGAAGAGAGTTCTTATTGTACTTTTAAAAATTCAATGAACACTCGTGTCTCTGTGTTTCAGGATACAATATGCCGTTTTAGGCAACTCTCGCCAGACATGAGTGAATGGGGATGCATGAAAGCAGTAGCACTATTTACTCCAGGTGATATGAAATTTCGTTAAAAAGTTTTACGAATATTTCTCAGATAAATCGCAAAATTTAAATAACCTTGTCCAATAGTTAGAACTCAAAATGAGAAAACCAAATTATTATTAAACCAAATCATTAAATCAAATAATCATTAAATAAAAAGATTCTTTTAGAACTTGTTAGAACAGGATCAAATTATTTAGTGCTATTATTGTTTTAAAAATATTGTAATTTGTTTATAAAAAAATTGTTCTTAATTTCGGTCTCGATATCGATGATTCGATCTTTCACAGAAACAGAGGGTCTCCATGCCAGCGAATCGATCAAAATGTTACAAGATCAGGCCCAATGCATCCTAGGGGACTATACAAAGTCTCGTTATCAACGACAACCGGGAAGAAGCGGGACATTGATGCACGTAGTCGGACGTTTGACGTCCATCTTCCCGAAGTTAGTCGAACGTTTGTTTTTTCACGAGACCATAGGCGAAATTCCCATTTCGCGTTTGCTGGTCGACATGTATCAGATGAAAGGACACACCAACTGAGGTTTCCCGAAATATGGCGGCGGTATCTCGTGGTTTTCCAAAATTTTCCCGACTCTTTAAACCAGGTACCGTGGGAAACGAAGCAAGTTTTCGAAACTTGTAGCCAAAGACTGCGAAACATACACGAAAGATTTCTCGTCTTTCTGTGATCAATGGATCTTCGTTGAGAAGACACTCGATCGAACGATTATGGTCTATGAAAATTTTCAAATAAACGATGCCAAAGTATTATTCATAAAGCTTTATTTTTATAATTCTGAATAATTGGCAATAGCAATTTCATTTGGTACAGAATTTTACTTCGGTGATAAATGAAATTTGTCATTCCTCAAACGAAAAGCCATGAGTGTCGTAACTGTAAAAATAATTTAAGTATAGTTTTGTGTAAGTAATATTTGTAAAACACTGATGAAAAGTCATGCGATTTTTGTTCTTATGACATTTTTGTGATGATACTACCGGGTACAAAAATATATTCTTCCAAATACTGTTCTTCATTCATACTGAAATGTTATGCATTATAAGAAAGATTTATATCGTTGTGAAATTTTCACAGGTTTGCAAATTCTAATTTGTTTATTCTTTGCGTTAATCCCTTTTCGTGAATTCCTCGACACATCTTGTATTTTTAATAGCAATTGTTTAATTGTTTTTGTTTAGTAATTAACAATATAGCGAAAAGAAATGAAAATTATTTGAACAGTGCATGTTAATAAAACGTGATTAAATTGCGTTTAATTTATTACATAATTGTTCTAGATGTTTGCTTTCAAGTTGTTTTAAATTTTTAAATGCAATCAAAAATATAGATTTACAAATGGTGAAACTGTACGCATTTTACAGAATGAATGGTGTAATATAATATTTCGATAAAGATAAAAACTTTGATTATTCAAATAAATCAAGGGTAAAATAAATTTAACGTTCTTTTGGCATGGACATAAAGGTAACTTAGCAATTTTTGCAGCCAGTTTGAAATGAAAGTTGCAAGTAAGTGCATAAGTACATAATAATCATGGGAACATGAAATATCTTTATACAGAACAAAACTGTATTAAATTTAGATTTACACTAACATTTTCTTCTTTCCCTCAGATTGCTAAAAAAATTTGATCCATGATTGTAAAAATTATATAAAAAGGAGAAGCTTACATAAGAACTAAATATCATACTCATTTGTAAATATTTGAATAATCGAGATTTAATGATGCAACATTGATTAATAACTATCTAACTAGTCAATTATACACTTTGCTTTCAATTTATGTGATATATTTTAAGCATACGCAATATATTATTTATCCATATATTACATATCAATATGATCGTTTTCTTCCACATTTGTAGATAATATTATCTAAGTGTTATTAAGTGTAACTTACAGTTACATTTTATATTATAGTATTTGATAAGTAACAATGTACAATTGTTTTAAAGTTATATGTGATTTGAGATATGACCGTATTTGTTACTAGATTGTATTCAGTATACGCTGATATTAATATATTTGTTGTAAAAAAAGACAAAATTTGGTTTTGTAGAATAGATAATATGTTTTATACATATATATGTATATTAGCATATAAATGATTTATATGGACCCATGAAAATGGCGGATAACTGAAACGAAATTATAAAAAAGAATACTTAGTTTTGATGCTTTTTCTATTTCATCCATTGTCTATGTACAAAATTGATATTTTATTTAATAAATTAATCTTTACACGTATACTTGTCACGACGTATTTAAGGGATATAATATTACAGAATAACTTTTTTACGAATTGTTGGATGGCTGTTGTAATAAAAGTATGAAAATTTTAAGGTTGTTTCATCAAAGCAAATAATTAGTTAATATCACATAATATTTATCTACTACTGTATGAGTTGTATTATAACCGTATTTTATAGAAATTTTAATATACTTCAAACTTCTTCAGATCTATGAAAGTCAATTTTATTGCACGCTCTTCAAAAGATATAGTTCATGCTTTCCAACATGGACGCATCTATAGTATACTGTATCAAAAGCATGATTGTGTATTCTAACCTAAGTTTTCAGTTGTAATCATCATCTTCAACGTAAAGTAAGAAATACAAAATAAGAAATGGTGCACAGTAAAATATTTTTAAAGAATCGAGCTTTAGGATATGTTAGTAATCACATTCCTCTTGTAACAAGGTATATTCAAAGGCGAAAAGAAAATCTTATAGTAACGTGTGTCGGTAATACGTTTCACACGTACGGCTGTTCGCATTTCACGCTCCTTAGTGTATCAGGAACGCATCCAGGTGAAATTACATGCCTTACAGGAGATACCTATCACATTTATACAGCATGTGGAAAGGAAATATATGCTTGGCGGAGAGGGACAGAAATAAAACACACTTACAGAGGTCATGAATTTACAGTGCATGTTCTTTTACCTTTTGGTCCACATTTAATATCAGTTGATGAAAACAGCAATGTTAAAATATGGGATATTAAAACAGAAGAACTAACAACAGAATTTAGTTTTAATAACAAACATTTCAAAGTTACAACATTAATTCATCCTAATACATATATGAACAAAGTATTATTTGGAAGTGAACAAGGTCAATTACAATTGTGGAATTTAAAAGTTCTAAAATTAATTTATACATTTAAAGGCTGGAACACACCAATAACTGCACTTGAACAAGCACCTGCAATAGATGTTGCAGCAATAGGTTTAAGCGATGGAAGAATTATATTACATAATTTAAAGTTTGATGAAAGCATTTTTGAATTAGTACAAGATTGGGGTTGTGTAATATCTATTACTTTTCGAACAGATGAGTATCCAATTATGGCCACAGGAAGTCTAAATGGTCATATTGTATTATGGAATTTAGAGCAACGTAAAGTAGAAAGCCAAATACATAAAGCTCATTTTGGAGCTGTAACAGGATTAAAATATTTGCCTAATGAGCCACTCTTAGTGTCATCTTCTCCTGACAATTCTTTAAAATTGTGGATATTTGATTTAGCTGATGGAGCTGGGAGACTTTTAAGAGTCAGAGAAGCTCATTCAGAACCACCTACAATTATTCGTTTTTATGGAAATGAGGGTGACAATATATTAACAGCTGGAAGTGATTCTTCCTTGAGAATATTTTCTACAGTTACAGAGATATTAAATAAAAGTTTTGGAAAAGCAACATTCAATAGAAGAGCTGCAAAGAAAAGAAGAAGAGCTATTGAAGATCCTTTATTAATGCCACCTATTACTGGATTTGCTGCAGAAATAACAAGAGAGAAAGAATGGGATAACATTGTAGCAACACATGCTGGTTTATGTACAGTTACTACTTGGTCTTTTAATAAATCAAAAATGGGAGAATACAAATTACTCCCAGAGAAATTTAAAAACAACCGTAATATCGCAGCGAGCTGTGTTTGTTTAACAAAATGTGGGAATTTTGTTGTTATTGGGTATAATATTGGCTGTGTAGAAAGGTTTAATATACAATCAGGAATTCACAGAGCTAGTTATGGTACTGAAAAAGGAGCACATCAAGGTACAGTGAAAGGTGTAATGGTGGACCCTTTAAATCAAATTGTAATTACTGCTGGAAGAGATGCATATATAAAATTTTGGACCTTTAAGCCAAAGAAAGGTAAGAAGAATAATTGTATTTTATAATATATAGTTGAAATATAATTAATTACATATTATAATTTCAAGGAGATACGGAACCACTAGCAAAAATGGTACTAGATGAGCCAATTGAATGGTTAAGATATCACAATGAAAGCTCCCTTGTAGCTGTAGCATTGGAAGATTTTACTATTGTATTAATAGATCTTGATACCCGAAAGATTGTTCGATGTTTTGAGGGACATGAAGCACAATTAACAGATGCTTGTTTCAATCCAGATTCTAGATGGTTAGTAACAGCATCTATGGATTGTACAATTCGTACATGGGATATTCTTTCTTCCAATTTAATAGATATTTTTCAGGTATACTTAACTTATATTATTGATTAAATAATGTTAATATTATTAATTTTGAAATATTAATCAAATGTAACAATAATTTAGGTTCCAGAAGCATGCACGTCATTACATTTTTCTCCAACTGGAGAATTTCTTGCTACAACACATGTGTGTAATTTGGGTATATATCTATGGTCAAATCGCACACTGTATTCTCATGTTTCTTTGAAAGCAGTGAACAAACATGATCCAATTCCAATGATTGATCTTCCTACTTCAGTAATAGAAATTAGTGACATTAATGAAGATGAACTTATTGAACCAGAACCTGAATATATTTCTCCAGAACAGCTTCAAGATGGTCTTATCACAATGTCTGGTTTAGCTCACTCGAGATGGCAAAATTTATTAAATATAGATATTGTAAGAAAGAAGAACAAACCGAAAGAAGCGCCTAAAGCATTGGAAAGTGCTCCTTTCTTTTTACCAACAATTCCATCCTTAGAATTGAAATTTGATTTTTCGGATGAGAAAAATACGGAGGACCCTAAGAAACTTGTTATCCATCCTGATATACAAAATTTAAGCCTATTTGGCAAATTTTTACTATCTGTGGAAGATAATAAATTTGAAGAAGTTATTGAAAAATTAAAACATATGAGTCCAAGTTCTATCGATTTCGAAATTCAATCACTTTCAGCGGATGAGAAAACGTCGAGCACTTTATTACTTCGCTTTATGAAAATGATGTATTACATGATAGAAAAGAAAACGGACTTTGAGTTGTCACAAGCTTACTTGGCTGTATTTTTAAAATGGCATGGAACAACAATAATAGAAACTGAATCGTTAAGAAATTATTTAGAAACATTACAGGAAGCACAGTCAAAAGTTTGGTTTTTATTAAGAGATAAATTGTTTTATAATATTAGTGTTGTACAGGCTTTAAAAAAAATGTAATATATTTTGTTATGATAAAACCAACGTATTATTTTCTATATAATTTTTAAATACATTTTTTAGACATGGTTATTGCAAAGTATTTGTTCCAAGTATATTCATAGAAAAATGAAAGATGTTTGAAAAATAATTAATTTATTGCAATATTTTACAAATTTAGTGTCAACATATTTAGAATCTTAGACTTACAAGTAACTCTTTCTACAGAAAATTATACACTATATCTAGCGAATCATAAATTCATAGAAAAGACTGCATTAATCACAAGTATAATTTGTGTATATAAATATAACGACTACAAAAATAATCTTATAATCTTTGTTATATATTTTGATACTAAAAAATCTCTCACATATAAGTAAAAGGTATTTATAAATATGCATTATGGCTTGGTATAAAAGAACAAAAATTTATTCTTCATAATTTTTCTCCTAAAAATTATTCTCTATAAGCGAGAAATCCATATAATTGTTCCACTGTTGTTGTTTCTAATGCTATATCTTTTATATAAGCTTCAAAACTTGTCACAATTCTATAAAGACTTCGCTTTGTTGCAGCACGCAAAGAGTAGAACATTTGTTTAATAAATTTATCATCTCCATCTTGTTTTTTTGCCATAATATTTGATTTTTGTAATTTATCAAGAGCTTGCTTTAATGCAAGTAAAGTATTGATTATAAGTGGTAGATCTTTTTGTGCAATTCCATAGGAATCTTCACTTAATGATAATGCAGCTAAAGATGAAATTGCATCTGCAGCCCAAATTACTGTCTGTCCATTAAATAACATATAACATACTTTACCACCCTCAATTTCACCAAAGATGTAAGAAATAAGTGGTTTAGAAAGCAGGTATATAAGGAAGTTGTTCCATTTTGTTTTTATGAATTTTTGGATGAACAGTTCATTGTCAATATTTTTCTTTATATCACTTTCTTCAGTAGGAATTTGTACTTCTTCCTTTACTAAATTACGCATACGATATATATATCCTTTCTGAAATGTACTGATATTTGTCATTGTTGAACTTGGAGCACATGAAGATAATCGTATTTCTTGAGGTTTAACACATGCTTCATTGAGATCATCAGCAAATTTTTTGATTAAACCAATACATTTTTCTACAACACTACTCCAGTTATAAGCATGACCACCAGGTTGACTAAGTGTAAATAATATACTTCTTCTTGCCTGATCTTTTTGTGCTATTGTAATTAAATCTAAATAAGCTAGATGTTGCATTATTGGCACTTTATCTATAGACAATGCTTCAGGAAGTGTCACTCCAAATTCATCACTATTAAGAACATTGCTTTGTTTGAATTCAAAAGGAACCCACTCTGTTAAATATAATTCAAACATTAAATACATGCTGTTAATTGTCAAAATAAATACCAATTGGTATAACCATAATTGGAAAATTAATGACAAACTCAGCAAACTAGGAATGCTACTTAATGGTTCATTTTCTAATTGTGCAGATGACAAAAACAATATGGTAGAACAACAATAAGAACCCAAGAAATAATAACCAATTAAATAATATACAGTTGGCCATATGCACTCTACCATTAATGATGGAAGCATAGAACATATTCCTGCTTTAAATCGAAAAAGCTTTGATGTGGATATTATAGGAAATTTCAAATATTTCATGTGGAAGATATTAGTCTTTAAAAAGAAATATAATCCACTCCAAAATCCACTCAGCAATAAAAAATAATGTTCTTCCTTTAAACAAGTTCCACAGACTATGTTACATTCTGTCATTAAAAAACCGTATTTATTTCCTTTGATTGATAAATGTAACCAAACAAGGAGGCCACCGATGATAATATACAAAGCACCCGTTATGATATTTTGAGATGTGAATATTCCACAAAATTTGATAAATCTACTTTTTAAGTAGGGTGGAGTGTTTGAATAATTTTTACTACATATGATTCCTTGAAAGAATGTAACAGTAGCAAGAATGCAGAAATAACTCCACATTCGGAAGGAGGTTACAGTTTTCCATGTGTTTTGAATCCATGACATATAATTTGTGTTCAAATTTGTAATTAATAATAAGCAAGATACAAGACAGAATTGTATTGTTATACTTGAGATTATAGCAAAGATCATCCTTTGCATTAATAATTCTTTACATGCTTTCTTATTCATCTGCATCATTTTATTTATTCGTAGTGGTTAACCTTCACTTTCTGTTGAAACTTCCCAAATTATGCAATCCAAAATTCTTTTCAATAAATTAAACGTGACTGATAAATTTTCATATTCTCCACAATGTTACACTTGTATGAGCTTTTTATCTATTTTTAATGATGTTTCTTTTCAAATATGTATTATCATTAAGTAATATAAACGATATAAACTAGTTATTTCAAAAAGCCGGTATGTTTATGAATTTTCCGTTGAATTTATTACGCGCGCCATTATGGTTGTTCTCACAAAACGAACATTAAGGAAAATATTTATGAATAAAATTATAAATTTGAAGTAGTTTTCTAAATAAAATATTAAATAAATCTTCATTAAATAACTTACTAAAATCAAGAATATATTACTTTCAAATTTGATGAGTTTAAGAATACAAAATTTTAAACGTATTTTCGATTAAATTTTGAATGTAAATATACTATATTAATATATAAAAATATGGATGTTTTAAGATATTGCCTTGTAATTGTAATAATGTCATTTATAATAAAACTTTTAAAGTTTGTATTATATTACATGTTTGTTACAGATTTATTTATATTCCATTCATATTTTACAAGTAATTAGAAATAAAATATTTTGTTATTTAAAAAGTTTCAGTGTAATTCTTCGGTATATAATACATTATTGCAAAAATGATCCAAACATCGGACTATTTCATTACCGCATATATTGAATGAATGGTGTACGATTACTTCGTAGTTTCCTTTCTACTTTGTACTTTATGATTCTAGTAAAGAAATGTAAGTCAAGTGCTTGATAAGTTTTCGAACCCAAAGCAGAACTATTCATTATTCAGCGAAGGTTGCCTTACTAGTAACATCTTTAATTAACCCGCATGTCATTTTCAATGCGCCTATTCATATAGTATAAACAAAATGGATTAAAATTTCATTAAAATTAATTTTTATTATTTTATGGAGATTATAAGAGCCCGCCGTCATGTGGAAGTGCCATAAATGTGGAAAACCAGTATACTTCGGTTAGTTTCAATCTTCATATATATTAAAAAGGCGTACTAATTTTGACAAGTACCGTTTCCTGTCATTACAATGAATTGATTTATTTTTCGTTTGGATGAATGTTATATTATTTATATATCTCTTATTATGAAAATTATTTTACAATTATTTTTTTGTATTTTAATCATATTCTTTATTGATATTTAAACAAATTATTTTTATAATTAAAAGATTAATTGTTTATTGTCGTAATATGACGGTTTTATTATTTTAAACATTTGAAGAATGCTATATATGAAAATAAAAATTTATTTACACATGTTATATAATTTAAATAAATATTTTGTCATGCTAATTTAAATTAGTAACTTATTATGTGAAAATGAAATTAATATATTGCTTTTTTATTCAGAAAATGTATTTGTTAAAATAGCAGTGAAATCTCATTCGGTTATAAAATTCTAAATACTTTGCACAAATGTATAAAGTTCAAAAATAAAATGAATATGTTTTATAAATATATTTATTTCCTCTAAAATATTAAAAAAAGAAAATCTGTATGACTTTAGCTGAACGTAAACAATCATTGGGATATGACTGGCATCCAGAATGTTTACGATGTGAGGAATGTGGAAAACGTTTAAATCCAGGTCAACATGCAGAGGTATATCATTGTTTTTATAAAATGTTTATAGAAAATTATAGTATTATTATTTATAGTTGTACAATGTTATTTATATTTTATTATTATATTTAAAGAAATATTAAATTTATTCTTTTTTATCAGTTTTAATGTATTGATAATTTTTTATTTAATAATTATTAAATAAAAATAATACCTTTTTTTGTAAATTATTATGTAGCATAAAGGTGTACCATATTGTCATGTACCATGTTATGGAGCTCTCTTTGGGCCACAATTATTTGGCCATGGAACAAGAGTTGAATCACATACAAGTTTTGGAAAAAAAGAAGTTCGGCCATCATTACCCAGGTATGCAACTATGCTTTAGTTTATATTATACTTAAAAATCTGTTTAAATTAATTTTTTACTAAAATTGTTTGATATTACAATTTTTTTTATTTAGATCACATCTAGAATCAAAACTAAAGGTTTTTAACCAGTATTATGAAGGTAAAAGTGGTGGAATAAGAAGTCGCGAGGTAGAGAATATTCTGTCTTTATATTTATACTAAAAAAAATATAGAGTAATTAGATAATTAATATTAATTCTTTACAGGTCAATGGGAGATTGATATTGGAAGGTGCACTTCGTATTTATTGGGGTGTAAGAGGAGTAATTCATTTAAAAGAAGATGATGATCAACGTACAGTGGTTACAGCACGAAATAGAAATTCATGCAGACGTAGTGTTTCTGATGTTTGTATAGATTTTTGTATAAAATGAGATACACCTCTAAATGCTCTATATATTTGTATATTTTACAAATTCTTTCAATAGAGTATAGAAGATGAAGAAAAAGAGGAAGATTCAGTAAAAGAAACTTGTGAGCAAGATGTAGAAACTGAAACAAAATCTGTCCCAACTTCTCCTGATCATCTCAAGAGCCTCACTTTACCAATGAAACTAGATGTTAAAAATATGGAGTGGGATGAATTGGATGAGCTTCTTCAGGTTATATATTGGTCATTAAAATTTCTAATCACTATACATTTTTCGTACTTCAATTGCATGTTTTTTTTATTTTTCAGGTTGAACGCAAAGTCGAAGATGGAAAGAAATTATACCAAACGATGCCCGAAAACTTACCGTCGATTAGTTCACAGTCGAGTTCTGATGCACTTCCACTTTCATCTCAGTCCAGTCTTGATAGATCTGATTCTCGTGAAAATTCAGAAACAGACAGTCCGAGTCATCAAACCAACCGGGGTAATGATAGCAGTGTAACCAGTACACCAACCCACAGTATAGGCAGCTCTTCCAGTACCGACACGCCTGTTTACCACGGTACACCAAATCGAAATGGGACCCTTCGAAGGGTAGAATATTTTGATAGTTTGGAGAGAAATTTATCTGGTAATAGATCTATTAGTACCGATGACAGTTGGATAGAGAAAGGCTTAAATCGATCAATGTCTGGACCAGACTGTCTTCAAAGACATCGAACGGATAGTGATACAGATTCTGTGAATTCTCTTCAATTTAGAGAGGACGATAACATGACAATGTCTACTGATAGTGGATTAGAGGTACTCAATGATTATAGCTTTGCAATTATTATTCCTTTAGCATATATTTATGTACATATTTATAAATGTTTTAGTTGGATGGTGTAGTTTTACGACGAAAGCAAGGATCTACCGCAATTAGACGACGCCCAGGTGGTCGACGACAATCGCGTAGTCGATTACGGCGTCGTTGTTCGATTAACGGACACTTCTATAATCGTGAAACTAGTTTCTTCACTCCTCCACATGGATCTCAGATGTCCGTTTGGATTACAAGTTTAGTAAATACTCAAGAAGTTATCAATCTCATGTTGGATAAGTATAAAGTTGATGCTAAGTCAGATAACTTTGCGTTGTTTGTTGTTCGCGATAATGGCGGTAAGTTAAATTGTTACAGAAAATATATTTTTAACATTAATGATTATTTTAAAAAGATAATTTGCTTTCTTATAGAACAAAGAAGATTGAGAGAAGATGAATATCCTCTGGAGGTTCGCGTAGTGTTAGGTCCGCACGAAAATGTTGCGCGACTTTTTTTAGTGGATAAATTGTCTACTCCGGAGATTAGCTCTGATGTTGCGCAATTCCTTAACCTTTCCTTGGCAGAGTGCCACGGTATTTTACAGCGTTATCATTACGAGGAAGAACGCCAGATTGTTTTGTTGAAAGAGAAGTACGTTTTTACTTTTTTTATGCATGTGTATAATACTGCATTTTAAACTGTTCGTTTACACATTTTAGACATCGTGTTATTTCAATTAAGGTGAAATATTGAAATGTCTTTTTTTTTTGTTTTCATTTCCAGATACAAAGAGATGCGACGACGAATACGGCAAAGAATGGAAGAACTGAAGGTTCGACTATAGTTAGTATATACTCAATGAACACTGAAATATTATATTATTATTTTTCTATTAATTTGCACTCGAAGATCTTACTTTTTTTTATATAAATTATTCATCGTAAAATGTGTTATCGTAATCATTTTAAAGGTATGTATTACAATAACGATACATAATCTTTAAATTATGATTCATTTTAACATTCAAACGGATTAAAGTCACTTTGTATCGATACTTTTTAACTCATTACATTCGTTATAATTTCAAGGAATTAATTTTAGAAAAGTTTTAGTTTTGTACGATTTTTTACTTTGAGTATTTTCAAACATAAAAGGAAAAAAGAAAAAAAAAAATATATATATATGTATAAAAGCATTTATAAGAATAATAATTAAAATGAATAGAAATGATATTCAGATATATGATAAGGATTAGTTTATATTATAATAATCGAAGTTTCATAGAAACTTGTTTCTTGGAACTGTTGTCAACAAATGTTATGAGTTATAAAAAAGTCCCGATCACAACAGCAAATCTTGCGCAATTTGTTCCGGAATAACTTGCTATTAGAAAAGTGATTTACGTTTGAATGTGTTGAGCGATAACGTACTAACATTTTCTAGCTTAAAGACTTATTGTCACATTATTCAACTATACTCATTTCTTTTGCATCTTTGTTGCATTTATTTGTAATTTTTAATGTGCAGCTAATGTCAAAACATTCAGTGCAATTTAACTAGGAACTCATGTATCTAAATGATATATATATATATATAAATACATATTGTTTAAGTCGACTGTGCATCAAACGATAGTCACGCAGTCACGCGAATTCAGTCTTCAATGCGATATCTTCTAAATTGCTATTTGCTAATTGTTGTATGTATAGCGTTTAGTTTGATCTTTTAACACTGAATATGAACATTGTCGTAATTTATTAGGGACGATCAAGTATCTGTGTAATAGACAGACACCGATATTAATTGTAAGTCAATTTATGATGACTTCTGATCGATATAGAGAGGAATCTTTTATACATGGGAAAGAAGAAAGTTACTGCCCGCAGTTTAGATTGTACGATTGTTAGAATTTAATGCAAGGCTGTCCAACTTCTTACCTCGTGAAGTTTTCTAAATTTTTTTTTTGTCACGTAGGTGCCAAAAGATGAAGGAAAAGGAAAATAAAAAGAAAGAAAGAAGGGAAAGGAAATATTATATATTGAACGATAAATGGAAATAGAATTTTAACGAAGGAATTGTTGAATTTAAAATGAAGATATTAGAGAAAACAAAACGTTAAAAAAAATATATGTGTATATATATATATATGTATATATATATTGTCCACATGGAAATGACTATAAACAATTGTACCTTGAACTACAGTTTTAGTTGGACAGCTCCGAGATCCATAGATTGTTATTAACCGATGGTAATTTTCGATATGTGTCACTGCCGCAATTGCTAGATTACGAATTAATGTTTTATCTTTAGAATATAATACGAGATATCGAAAAAGGGATTGTTTTGAAAGTAATTTGATTTATGGAGTTCGTTTCGAGAGGTGTTTCATTTAACGCGGATGAATCTTGAATAGCGCTCTATTCGAATGGAATTTCAGGGAACCAATTTCGTTCTTCTAGTTAGTAGTTTCGCAACATTATCGTCGATTGTAATTAATCGTAGTCGAAACTTAGGAGTTTCCATGTGACAGATTTTGAAAAGTTCTTTCTGCATGTGAAGAAAATTGAAAGAAATTATTACGAATGCAATTTAGATAAGGATTTAGGACTAAATTCTAGCTTTTAAGAACAGCTGGGTTCTTCAAATTTGTTAAAATATTTTACAACTTAGTAATTTGTTTCAAGAAATCGTTAATATTACTAGCGTAATATATGAAATGTCTGTTTTAATAATTAATTGAGAAAATTATTGAATATTTTAGAAATAAAATTTCCTTTATAATTAAGATACTTTTATCTAAATAATAACAGATCTTTGAATTCCATCGTAATACATTTTATGGGATTTTAATCTTTCTAGAATAGATCGTAATATTAAAAACATCTTCGGACATTTCACATATTATAACCCGACATTAAATTCTAATTAGAATTCGTGCAATAGTAAATAATAATAAAATCGATTTACTCGATGCAATTTTAATCGAGTAAGTCTTCTCAGAGCTACGTGATATCTTATTTCAGACATTCAGTAGCCATTTTCGCAGAAAATGGCGCCCTCTAAATTAGCTTCTTATTACCATCTTTTTCCAAATGTCGATGCAGAAGAATCTTCCAAGATCATCTTCCACGAGTATTTAAAAAATCGTGCATTTTCGTGATAAAAACGCGAGGTTTCCTTGGTATTTGTCAGCATTCCGACTTCAGTGCAGTTGATTTCAACGATGTTTTAAGAAAATATCACAACTAATCGTATTTTTTGACGAATTTTTAGAGATCCCTTTTTGCAGAATGTTTCGAAACGAGCCTTGTATAAAATACACGTTTGCTAAGCGAAAACCATAATTAATCTCTATAATAATTATATCCAATCTTCGATGAGAAGGGAAACGCTAAAAACTCTCATGAAAATCATCCATTAATCGCGTCTCCCTTTTTCCAAGAACATATCTCGTTACTCGAAACAGAATCTTCCACGAACTTTTCTCATCCTTCGACAGAGAAGCAAATTTTCGTTTAGCAAATCGCTGGTATTTCGAGACATGCTGTACACCACAGAATTTCTACTAGCAGTTGTTATGTATTTGAAAGACTTCTAACTTCCGTGTGTAGACGTGGTCCAGATAACTGGAGGTACTTGCGCACAGTTATGATTGTACAATCACACACGCTTAACATTGCAGAGTGTAACTGGTTTCCAGTGAAAAGGGGTAGGAAAAATCGTGTACAGCGAAGAGTACACAACGGGGTAGAGATTTTCGCCGTTGTTCATATGACAATATACACCGACCGTATAATCATAATTCCTAAGCTAGTCACACCTCGTAAATAGTCACACACGACGTGTGTCGCGAATGCGTTTGCGATTGTGTTTTAGACAGATAGACACGATCCGTGTAGAGAACACGGTTCTGGAAGTTGTTCAATTTGTTAACGATGACTGTTGAGCTGTAAAACAAGAGACAGAAACATCGGGGTGAACTGTATTAACCCTTTGCACTCGAGAGGTGCCTCTAGATCATCATTTGATAAAATTTCGAAGCTCGATATTAATTAATATATCAAATTTAAAATAACGTAACAGTGTGCGAGGTATCGAAATCAAATAATATTACAATTCTATTATTATATAATTCTTTATTTACTGCTCAAAAAAGTATCGTCAGTTTTTTAGCAGAGAATCTTTGAATTTCTACTCTTCTTTAGCCAAAAAGTCGTCGAGTGCAAAGGGTTAACGTTAGAACTACCAACCCAGTGAAAATGACTGGTCCCAGAATTTTCCTTTTTGCGATCACCGAACACGTACACCTGCCATAAGAATAAAATTGGTATCAACTCGTATTGAGAAAGAACTGTAATCGATATATTCGCTCATATTCATCGTATCGCTGAAATTACTATAATCTGTGCACGTTATAGCTAGGTACCCATTAAAGATCGGTAGTTCTAGTGTTAATTTGCCTGTTAATTCCTCCCATTGTTTCCGTCGATCGAACTGATTTTATACCCCCGTTAGCGGTAATCTTTTTAGATAATTTTTAAGATACTTCTTTAGACGATTTTTTAGCGTAATGTTTCAACCAATTGCGAGGTAGCATTTTTATCTTGTCGAAGTCTCTTCGTTTCACCGACGAATTACGCAAAGAAGCGATAGTTTAATTACTTCGCGCAAGTCTCCTTAACCCAGGTACATTATCTAAGGCAAACAAACTTTGGTTCGGTCCAATAACAGTGGAAACAATCTAGTATAATCAAATTATGCAGTTTATCTTGTCTTTCATTTCCGTCCATTGCTTGTTTGCTGAACAAACATCGTACAGGGTGATTCAGTGACCACTGCCACCTTCGTGATTTTGTAATTATACGAGTCAACGAAATGTTTTTGTAATAAAAATTGCATAATTCGTCGAGAGACTATTGCTGGAAAAGATTTATTTACGAATCTGAAGAATAAAAAGAAAAGGGAGCAAAATAAGAAGAGAAAATGAAGAGAATGCAAGTGGGTATGAGCGAAGAGGGAATTCAATTAGCACAGATTTTCTTGCTTCATCATCAATATAAACATCAATCATTTCAACGCGAGATTCACTTGTGATATTTTTAATTATTATATTTATTTTCGAAAGTCTGAAATTTTCATAAGATAGGGAATACAGCTCTCAGGACGTTCGATGTCTGACCATAAGAGAGCCGAGACTACTTACTCTCTAGTCAGAATACGTTTTAATACTCTTTGAATACCAAAACATATCGTTTCACGAGAGAAGGAATAAAATAAAACTGAAATTAATACTCGTACTATGACAACGACACTGTCATAGAAAAATCACGATTTTTATGAATTTCTCTTTAACTAGCACAGTCTGGGAATCCTTAAAATAATAGCGATTAACAGACTGCGTGTGAAATAAAATACACGACGTATAAAATGAAATATTTCCAACAATTTTTCAGTCGTTTAAAAATTTTACGAATTTTTCGCACTGCGAGAAAGATATAATTTGCACAGTTTCAAGATTCCCCGTGTAACCTCTGTCTAAAACACGTTTCGCGAACATTTGACACGATACTCGAATTGCATCGCGATATGGAGTTCGCTGGTGCATCGGTTTTTGTCACACCTTGAAATAGATGTTAACCAAAATAGAAAGGAACAAAAGGAAAAAGGAAAAAGAGAAAAAAAAGGAAAAAATTGTAAAAATGGAACGAAAACCAACATGTACTGGGCCACGCAAAACTATGTCGTACGTATTTTTTAACGAGAGAGTACATGCTTTGTTTTCTATCGTGTTAAGATAAAAAAAGGTATATATATATATATGACACGTTCGAAATGAAACAA